GCCTAGGCGTGCTCTGTTTCCACACTTGCAATGAGCTCAGGGCGTCGGTGGTTCACGGAACGCCTGTCGACCCCTTGCAGCAACAGGCCGCGGTAGCAGCTGCTGTGCACGCCACTGACCATTAAGCGTGCTGGCTGACTGCTGTCCCTTAGGTCCGGTCGATCACCATCACCACCATCAGCATCGTCATCATCATCGCCATCGTGATCATCGTCATTACAAACATCATCAACATCATCATCACCACCACCATTATTAGCATCAGCATCACCGCCGTCATCATCATCATCATCATCATCATCATCATCATCATCATCATCATCGTCATCATCAACACCATCACCATCATCATCATTAGCGTCAACACCAGCATCGTCATCAGCATCAGCATCAACATCAGCGTCATCATCAGCGGCGTCCGTTCTTCTGCTCTCCGCATGCCACCTCTTGCACGTTTCGTGGCCCCATAAGGGGGCTCCACCGAAGGCCTCTTTCGCGCCGCCCGCGTGCGCCACCCCCACCCAGTGCAGCGTTTCGTGGCCCCGTCGGGATGTCCACCGAAAACCCCAGTGGCACCGCCCGCATGCGTCGCTCCCACCGCGTACAGCGCTTCGTGGCCCCATGAGGAGCTCCACCGAATGCCCCATTGGCAACGCCCGCGTGCGTCATCCCCACCCATTACAGCGCTTCGTGGCCCCATACGAAGCTTCACCGAAGGCCCCAGCGGCACCGGCCGCATGCGTCAGCCCCGCCCAGTGAAGCGTTTCGTGGCCCCGTAGGGAATTCAACCAGCGGGCCCATTGACACCGCCCGCATGCGTCACCCTTTTTCCCCCGCCCTCTGCAGCGCTTGAGGGCCCCAATGGCAGTGTCCGCAAGCCCTTCCCTTACACACTGCAGCGTGCGTGGCCCCATATGGGGACTCAACCGAAGGCTTCAGTGGCAGTGCCCACTGGCATGGTTCGCATGGCGGCCCCGTTCAATGTCGGCGCACCTCCCACACGTTTCGTGGCCCCATATGGAGCGCCACCAAAGGCTTCAATGTCTGCGCCCACATGCGTCCTCGCCATCACACCCTTTACGCGCTTCGTGCGCCCATAAGAAATCCACCGCAGGCGATACCCACACCGGCTATGCTCACAGCTGCGTATGCTTAGTCTCCTCGCGAGGATAATGTGATGGCCCAGGAGGTGGTCGGGCCAGCAAGTCGAGTTGATCCGACAACGGTTTTGATTGGTAATTCGTTCTCGGAATGAAAAGGTTTTGGCGCTCTCTCCATATGGTACTTTAAGTCGTTCCCAGGACGACCCCAACAGACAAAACACATTGAGTTTCCATTGTTTGTTTGTACGTTTAGCGCGTCTTCGCCTTGTCAGCCATCCGACGTGCCGAGACTGCCCAAGAGGCCGCTCCAAGTCGGCCCCACACGGTTCCGAGACGGAACCGTCAAAACAGCCCACGACGGCGTTAAGTCGTCCCCAAAACGGTTTCTGGGGTTCACGAAGAATATCAAACAACCGTAAAGAGGTTTCCCAGACGTCCCCACATCAGCCTTGTCATATCTATCCGTATCTCCGTGCACCGTGCACGTCTCTGGCCGCTTGGGCGAGACATCCGCTGCCATGGGGCACGGGCACGTGCACGACACTGTTTTGAATGACTTGTTGCGGCGTGCGCAGCCAAATCTTGCGAGGGGGAGGAGGTTGCGGAGGAGGAGTTGGGGGTCACCTGTAGGAGGAGCAGCAGCTGCCACGGAGTGGCCATTGGCGTCTCATTTCAGACCAGTCGCCCAGCGGCGCCTGCTCGCATCGCCGCCGTGTTCTCCCCGTGCTTTCACACGCACTGTCTCAAGGCGCTTGGACGAGGAGTCATCTGCTGCAGTGGGGCGTTGGCACAGGAGGGAGCGCCAGGGAGATCGGACACTCTGCACTAACAACTGTCAGCAATCGAATGCACCAAAAGGACCTTCGGACTGTTGACCTCAGCTCTGGGCTCCCGACGCTGTGGGCTCAAAAGCCCGCGCCCACGGTTGAGCGGATCGTAACATGCCGGGGAACGTGGAACGAAAAGAAGAGACAGGCAATAGATTTTGGATCATGCGCCGAGCAGGACTGGAGAGAAGATATGCTAGATGATGCGGTAACGCTAGATGTGGAAGCAGCCGTTCTGAGCATCGTGCGCAGCTACGTAACGTAGACAGGCGTTCACCCCACGAGGCATCGTGACATGGTCCCACTGTGTCGTGATAGTGTTTGATAGCGCCTGGGCATGCGTTAGAACCTAAGCGCGCGCGAAGTGCGCGCGTGGTTCTAATATATATATATATATATATATTATATATATATATATATATATATATATATATGCCCCCCCCCCCCCCAGCGACCCCCCCCCCCAGAGCGCCCAAAGCACGAATCCACAGAATCGCACAGAATCGCTTCGTTGAAGCCCTTCGTTTTTTCACAACTCACTTGTGGCCTGCCATCCATGCTGACGAACTCATCCGCTCGGCCCATCCGTCGCGGGCACCGCGCGCGCAAGCATATCGGTTTCGGCCGAGGCCACGAAACGCTGTGCATTACAGGTGTTTCTGGTTTTCCTGGTCTGGGAATCAACGAAACACGGTGTACTACATGTTTTTCTTGTTTCTCTGGTTTCTGGGGCTGGAATGCTCGCCGCGGCCTCGCCTCGCCGCGCACCCCCCCCCCTCCCCCTGTTTGTCGGCGCGCGAAAACCAGAAAACAAACAAAACAAAACAACTGTCATGCACAGCGTTTCGCGGCCTCCGAGCAAGAAAACAGTGTGCATGACATGTGTTTTTTGTTTTTCTGGTTTGGGAGTCAACGAAACACTGTGTATGCCGTTTTTTTTTTTTTTTTTTTTTTTTTTTTTTTTTTTTTTTTTTTTTTTTTTTTTTTTTTTTTTTTTTTTTTTTTGTTTTCTTTTTTTGTGTTTTTTGGTTTTTCTGGTTCCTGAAGCTGGAATGCTCGCCGCGGCGTCGCCCCACCGCGCCCCCCCCTTTGTTTGTCGGCACCTGAAAACAAGAACAACCAGTAAAACCTGTCATACACAGCGTTTCGTCGATTCCAAGACCAGAAAAGCAACCTTAAACAAACTGTCATACACAGCGTTTCGTGGCCTCGGACGAAGAAAACGCTGTGTATGAGCCCTGTTTCTGTTGGCAGTGCGCTTCCTGTCAAGCGTTTCCTCCGAAGAGGCTGGCATGATGACAAGATCAAGCCAACTTGAGCCAAGAGGGGCTACCGACGAAGAGAAGTGAGAATGACGGGCGACAACGAGCGGGGCAATACAAGAGAGAGGGACAGAGAAATGACAGGGGGAGGAGGAGGGGGAGGATCGGGGGGCGAAGAGAAGCGCGACGAGGAGTAGAAGTAGGACGGCGTACAAGGGGCGAGGGAAGAGAAGGGGAGATGAGGAAGAGGAGGGGGATGACGATGAGGAGGAGGAGGAGGAGGAGGAGGAGGAGCAAAAGGAGGAGGAAGAGGAGAGGGGAGGGGAAGCGCGACGAGGAGCGGGGGGGTGCATGCAGGGGGCGAAGGAAGATAATGAAACAATAGAAGGATAGTAAAAAGAGGTGGGCTTATCTGGCAACGTTCAATAAGAAACCCAGAGTCTCGCCACCAATAGGCGGCATGGCTCTGCAAACGTGGAGGAGGATGAAGATCATTGGCCCTGGGGGGTCGCCTGGGGGGGGGGGCCATATATATATATATATATATATATATATATATATATTATATATTATATATATGTGTCAGTGCGTGCACGGGAAGGTTGTGAGCGAAATGACTTGATGAGACAGGTCAGAAACGAACCAATTTAAATGGGGGACCCCTGGACTCCATAGCCTTTCTTCGGTTCGAGATGGCCCAGGCCCCTGCGGGCCACTGGGCTGTCCTCGCGCTGGGGCTCTCCCACATCTCCTCGCTTTTCTCGCCCGCGGAACCGCGCCCATCGGCTGGACTGCCGCCCTGTATGCTGGAGGTTGTGTGCCCGCCCGCGTGGCTGCCGATTGGGAACAGCGGAGACGCTCGTCCTCCTGGTCCCGAGGCGCCGCCTCGCGTGGCGTCTCCCGCCGTCTGCCCGGCCCCCGAGCTGACCCAGGCTCAGGCGGAGCCTGAGGCGGATTCGCTCGGCGCCCTCGCGGCGGCGGTCCCTGGCGTGCTGGTGGCGCGCAGCTGGAGGCGTGCCGCGCCTTGCGAGGCTGCTGTGGCCGAATGCCCCAGGCTGCGGGGGCCTCGATCGGGGGGCGTGATGGCGCTACCCCCGCGAGACGTGGGGCTGGAGTGGTGGAAGGAGCCAGCGGCTCAGCGTAGGATGTAGTGACGATCAGGTGAAGCAGGAGCGTGTGCTCCTCCACCCGAGGTGGCCGCCAGGCGCCCGGGCCGCATTGACGTCTGGCGCCGCCGAGTACGAGGAGGACGACACTGGCGTGAGCCCGCAGGCGTGGCCCGCGGGCGCGGCCCAGATGCCAGCAGGAGGAGGCGCGCCCGAGGGCTGGCCGCGGTCGTCCCGCCGCTGTCGGGCGGCCCTCTCGGAGGAGGAGCTCAAGGCGGCGATCGTGCACAGCCGCGTGTTGGTGGAGGAGCGTCTGCCGGGCCTCGCGCCCGGGCCGCCTGCTAAGGTAGCGGGCCCGGGCGACAGGCGGGCGGAGTGGGCGGACTTTTTCGGCGGGGCGAGGCGGTCAGCGCTGGAGGTCGAGTACGACGCGCAGGGGGGGATTCGCGAGCCCATCAGGACCGCCTGCCGGGAGAGTTCGCAAGACGCCTTCCCTGACCAGCCCAGCGAGGGGCCTGTCAGTCGGCCTTGACGGTATGCAGGAACATGGAGCGCACGAACAGCGACCCCAGGTCCTGGCGGAGGGACTTCCTGAGGCCCAGAGGCGGCGGCGACAGTGACAGAGTGACGCATGAGATGCACGTTCTCTGCGACATCCTCCTCTGGGCCGCGGTCTGCACCCAGATGGATCTAGGCGACTAGATGTGCCTGGAGACGGCGGCCAGGAGGATCACGGAGCTGGTGGAGCTGTACTTCGATCCAGCCAAGCCTGTGTGGGGCGGCTCCCGCCTGTACCCTGGCGCTGCGTCCTCGGATGGCAGCGCGGATCAGACCTTGCTGCAGTTCGCCACCGGGAGGATCAGGGAGCAGCGGGAGGCCCAGGCGGAGCCCTCGTATGACAAGGGCCCGCAGCGCACCGAGGGCGACGGCACCACCGACGGCGGCGGCAGGGATCGGCAGAGGCGCCCGCCATCGAAGGACGTGAAGGGAGGCGTGGGGGGGGCTGGCGCCCCCCCAAGGGGCAATGACGGCCCTTGCGGCCGGGGGGAACCCCGTCCCCGGCCGCGACTCAGGGGTGGCGCGGGGTCGGCTTGCCGCCTCGCGCAGTGCCAGGGAGCTGTTTCCGCTGCCGCGCTGGCGCCTGCCTGAGCTGCCTGTGGCCGACTCCGTTCGGAGCAGGGCCCGGCGGCGGCGTGAGAGGTTGGTGTTCAAGATGGGTAACGAGGCGGTGGATGCTCTGAACTGGCTAGCTGGCTGTCGGGGCGGACCGGCCTACTTCGACCCCGACCCGATGCAGTTTGAAGTTTTGGAGCGGATCTGCGAGTTAGCCTCGCGGCGGTACCCAGGTCCTGATGCTCCCAGTGAACGCGCGGCCGTCCGCCGGCTGCTGCGCGGGCATACACCGTACGATGGGGCGGGATGCCTCACCCGTGTCGCGCCTTTCAGAAAGGGCCTTGTTTCGTTACCCGAGACAGTGGAGGGCTGCCCGCCGTTTGAGGGCGCGGCCCCTCCAGAGGTCCAGAGATTCCTGAAGGAGCATCCCGAGCGCATGCTGCGCGCTGACAGTCCCTCTTCTACCGTGGCACCTTACATCGACCCCGCGCTGAAGCGTAGCGCGAAGACCTACAGGCAGTTCATCAGCGACCTACGCCGACGCGGTTTGGTCGGCTGGACCATGCGCCCGCGTTGCCAGGCCGGCCTTTTCTTTGTTGAGAAGGGCGGAGGTCAGCGGCTCAGGCTCATCCTTGATGCCAGGCCCGCGAACCTTCTCTTCGAGCCGCCGCCGGGCGTCAGCCTCCTGAGCGCGGAGGGCCTCAGCCGAGTCGAGATCGCCCTGCCGGATGGCCTGGGCCCCTGGAGCGAGGAGGCGGAGCGGCTCCTCGTCAGCTACTCTCTGCATGTGGGCCTGGCCGACGTGAAGGACTGCTTCCACAGGTTGCGACTTCCTGGGTGGCTCTCCGAGTACTTCTGCCTACCCGTCGTGCCAGCGTACTAGCTGGGCGTGGAGGGCGAGATCTGGGAAGTCAGGACTCTGGGGAGGCGCGATCTGGCGAGTCCGTGCTGGGCCGTCTTTCCGACGGGTTTCACGTGGAGCTTGTGGGCTGCCCAGCGGATCAACGAGTGCCAGGCGAGTTCCCTCTGCCCGCAGCTGCGCGAGAGCCCCCTTTCTGACCGTGGCAGGCCCCCCGTCTTCGGCCCCAGCGTCCCCAAGGGCCACGTCTCGCACTGCGTGTGCGTCGACAACCTGGGGGTGGCCTCCATCGACCAGCCCATCGTCGTCACCGATGCGATCGCGCAGTTGGTTGCGGGCTTCGACCAGCGCGGCCTCCTCCTCCACGGCAGCTCCGTGGGCACCGAGGTGACCAGGTCGAGACGCTGGGCGCCGAGGTTTCGGGGGCCCTCTGGAGGACGAGAGTGACGCAGAAGCGGTTTTGGCTCATTCGACAGGCCCTGAACGGCCTCCTGCGACGCCGCCGCCTCACAGACTGGGCGGTCGAGGTCCTGGTGGGCCACTGCACGTTTGCGGGATTGCCGAGCAGGGGTACGTTGAGCGTATTCCACACGGTCTATGCCTTCATGCGGGAGTCATACGCCGAGCTTAGCGTGCTGTGGCACGAGGCCCGCCAGGAGCTCGAGACGGTGATTGGACGCTGCAGTGGGACGATCTGGTGGTGGCGACCGACAGCAGCTTGGAGGCAGGAGCTGTCGCGACCGCCCGGTGGCCTCGTTCGTTGGTGGCCGAAGCGGGCCGCGCGCAGGAGCGCGCCCGCTTTCGGGAGCCCGCGGCGGTCGAGACCGACGGCGCCGCCGGGGCCGCCCCTGCTGCCCGCCGCGGCGCGCGAGAGGCGGCGCTGGAGGCGGCGGGCTTCTGGCGCGACGCCGATGGCGAGCGGCGGCTGGCCGAGGGCGCGATCGACGACGACGGGCAGGCCGCTGCGTGGGAGGCGGACCCCTCCTTCCCGGAGGTGCCCGCCGCGGGCCCGGCGAGCAGCCGCCGGCGCACCGAGCAGGTGCAGCGCTGGCGATTCGAGGAGGGCATCCTTATTAAGGAGGCCCGATCACTGGTGATGGGCGTCCGACGCATTGCCCAGTCGGCGTTCGGTGCCGCTTGCCGTCAGCTGATTCTGTCTGACAACATGTCAGTCGTATTGTCTTTTAACAGGAGTCGTGCTAAAGAGTTTGCTCTCCTCGTCCAGGTCCGCAGGTTTCAAGCCTACTGTCTCGCAAGGAATCTGAAGGTGTCTGTGAGGTGGGTTCCGTCTGAGTTGAACCCCGCCGATTATGGGCCTCGCGTTTTTGATAAGAAAGGGGCTAAGGAGTCTCTTGGTGCACTTCTTCCCGATACACTTTTTCCAGAGGAGTCCAGGTCTAAAGGTCCCCCTGAGGTTCGCGCTCCCCTCCATTTCCACCCGTCCGAGCTGTGCAGTGCCCGCTGCAGTGTGCCCCTCAGAGAGCTCTGTCTGTTCTGCCCCAAGTGCCCGAGGAGTCTGACTGGTCCCTCGATGCCCGTGTTTGCTCTGAACCTGCGTATTCAAGGTGCGGTCTGACTTCCTCGTATCCCGTTTCGGCTCAAACCTGTTTGCAGGCCCACCCCTTTGATGGGCCCTCGTCCTCGCATGCTGCGCCGAGGACGGCTGCAGGAGACCCCGCCGCCTCCGCCTGGGACTCCAGCGCGGCGGCCGCGCCTGCGGGCGAGGGCCGCGTCGGCCGAGCCTGCCGCGCCGACCCCCCGACAGCTGGTGGCGCGAGAGTCGGGCAGCAGGACCCCCCAAGGGCCGCAGCTCCTGCCGAAACTCACCGCGGCCCGGCGGGCGCAGGACTGGAGGGCCAGGCTGAGCTTGGCCGAGCTGTCGTCAGCGCCCAAACTGCCCGGGCGCGAGCGCGACCTCCAAGCCCTCCCCCTGGACTGGTCGCACCCGATCGTGGCCAGCAGCGTCGACGGCGGCAGCACCTCCGACGATCAGCAGGTCGAGCCAGCCGGCGAGAGGCGCGAGGGGGGGCCGCTGAAAGAGGCAGCTCGGAGGCGGGCCTTGACCACGGCCCCAGGGATGGGCGAGGCGATGGCCGGCTACGTGAACCACATGTCCTTCGAGGGCCCCGAGAACGCCAAGGGCTGTCAGGAGAGGGCAGGCCTCATGCACAGGTTCGGGGAGTTCTCGAGGCAGGACAAAGCCAGGACACCTCGGGCGTGGAGGGGCCTCCAGGGATGGCGCAGGCTGGCGCCCCGGCGGGGCCGCCGCGCAAGGCCGTTGGCCCTCAGGTGCGGGCTCGCCTGGCGCATGGGGGTGCAGAGTGTGCTGCCGATGGCGGTGTTCCTGCTCGCGATGGTCTCCGGCTACCTCTGGCCCAGTCGTCGGCTGAAGTTGGCGAGAGGCAACATCATCGCTCCTGCGATGGGAGAGTGCCGTCGGTGGTCGCTGCTGCTGTTGCTGGACACAAGGCCCCAGAGAAGCAAGACAAGGCCCTCGGACGTCGGGGCGATGTTGGACAACGGATGCATTCGGCGTGCCATGCCTATCTTCCGAGAGCTCGCCCGAGGGGATCACGAAGAAGAGGGGCGGGCGTTCAGTTACCCTCAGTTTCTGGCAGTGCTGAAGAAGGAGGCGATCGACCCGCAGATCCGAGAGCACATTGTCCCTTGTCCAACCAGACACTCAGAGCCCAGTATGGGCAACGCTCGACGGTGCCGAACGATCGCGGAGATGCAAGAGAGAGGACAGCGGAGGCATGCCATGCCGATGCAACGTTACGTGAGGACGGCGAAGCTGGGTCAGAGCAGACCTCTCATGCCGTCCCGGCCGCCAGGTATTTTGACGCAGTGCGAGTTACATCTAGAGGGCATACTGCTCGGAAAAATTGCCGAGACAATCCGCAAGGGCTTCGCCCCCTGCCGCCGGCCCCCTCTCTCGGACAATGGGCCATGGAAGAGCTAAGTCATGAGGCTTTGGCGCTGTCGTGCAGCAGTATCGGAACTTCATGCGAGGCCGATTCGCAATCGGCAAAACCAGCTGATCACAAGAGGGGTTACCACACAGGGCGATCGGTAAGACGTGTATGGTTTACGAGCTTGGTTACCACACCTTGGGATTGAAGGGCCGAGGGAGTACTCGCAGTTTGGGTTACCACGCCTTGCGATTGATGTGCGTGAGGGGTGGCACCGAATTTCAGAAATATTGTAAATACCATGTGTTTTTGGACCCTGACCCCGCGGATCTGCGTGAGGGGTGGCACCGAATTTCAGAAATGTAGCAAATCCCTTGTATTCTGTTGACCCTGACCCCACGGATCTGCGTGAGGGGTGGCACCGCATTTTAGAAATATTGCAAATCCTTTGTGTTTTTGGACCCTGATCCCGCGGATCTGCGTGAGGGGTGGCACCGAATTTCAGAAATGTTGCAAATCCTTTTTTTGTGTTTTTGGACCCTGGCCCAGCGGATCTGCGTGAGGGGTGGCGCCGGATTTCAGAAATGCGGCACATCCCATGTGTTTTTGGACCCTGATCCCGCGGATCTGCGTGAGGGGTGGCTCCGAATTTTAGAACTGTTGCAAATCCCATGTGTTTTTGGACCCTGACCCCGCGGATCTGCGTGAGGAGTGGCACCGAACTTCAGAAATGCGGTAAATCCCTTGTGTTTTTGGACCCTGACCCCGCGGATCGGGTGGCGCCGAATTTCAAAAATGTTGCAAATCCCTTGTGTTTTTGGACCCTGACCCCGCGGATCTGCGTGAGGGGTGGCACCGAATTTCAGAAATGTGGCAAATCCCATGTGTTTTTGGACCCTGACCCCGCGGATCTGCGCGAGGGGTGGCACCGAATTTCAAAAATGTTGCAAATCCCTAGTGTTTTTGGACCCTGGCCCCGCGGATCTGCGTGAGGGGTGTTTATTTCGAGCCCCCCCAGCAATTCAGACAACGCGCCCAGGGGGTGCTAAAAATTAAGTTTTTTCCCTCCCCCCCTCGCGCTGTCAATCAACTAGTTACAGTAACCAGCAAGAAGCAGAACTGTAACACTGGAAACTACAAGCTACAACTGGTACAGGAAACTGCGAATCACGGTCCTACAGCCTGGTGGCCCCACAGGGGGACCGGCGGATTATCCTGTGAGGCGGCACGGCCGCCAGCGTAAGTACATTCTTGATTTGTTCTCGGGTTCGAACTCGATAGGTAAGGCTGCTTTAAGGCGAGGCTTCAACTAGCATGGTTTTGACAGCCTCAATGGACCCAACGAGGACCTCACTAGACCTGTCGTGCTTGCGCGTGTTAGGGCCGCTATATCTAGGCATGAGGTGATGGCCGCGTCTCTTGGGCTTCCTTGTGCGTCTTGGGGAACAGCGGCCGATCGGGGGCGTCAGCCGGGCCGCTCAAAGAGTTTTCCCTGGGGCCTGCCCGACGCCTCCGAATGCACAGCTAGGATAATTTTACAGGGAAGCGCCACCTTTCGTGCAGCGCTAAAATTAATCAAGGCGCTTGCCCGAACGCAGGTCCCCTTTGTTCTTGAGCATCCGATCAATAGTAGAGCCTGGCACGCGCCTGAACTGAAGTCTCTTACCGAGCGATATTGCATGCATTCTCGTGTGTGTGATCAGTGCCAATTCGGGGTCCGCTGGAGAAAGCGCACGCGATTCTTGTTTTTCGGGGTGGACCCCCAGGACACTTTGAAAGTCCAAAGACGGTGCCACAGCGTTGGTGGGGTTTGCTCGGCTTCAGGGAAGCCCCGCGTCATCCTGGAAAGCAAGGCCCCCTCTGGGGCCACGTGGACGTCTCTGGCAGCTTCGTATCCTCCGAAGCTGGCTGACTGCATTGTTAACTGTTTACTCTGCCGCCAGAGGGACCAAGAGGCGGCATCCTTCCTTTAACCCGCCTCGCCCTCCCAGAGAACCATTTGGGCTGTCAATTGCGTCCCGGCTCCGCCGAGACGAGTGGCGCGTGGCAGCAAAAACGCCCCCCACCGAATGTAGCGGTTAACCTGTCAGTGCGTGCACGGGGAGGTTGTGAGCGAAATGACTTGATGAGACAGGTCAGAAACGAACCAATTTAGATGGGGGACCCCTGGACTCCATAGCCTTTCTTCGGTTCCCGCCCTCCCTTGTCTCCCTCTCTGCTTTGTCGCCAGGCTGTCAATTGCGTCCCAGCTCCGCCGAGACGAGTGGCACGTGGTAGCAAAAACGTTCCCCACCGAATGTAGCAGTTACTCATGTGTGTATATGTATGTATATACATATACATATACACATATATATATATATATATATATATATATATATATATATATATAGGTGTGCACACATGAACGTGGGATTCGCATCTTGACGGTGAGATTTCGGGCCTGCCGATGCCCGACACGTGGAATTCGTGCCCCGAAGGCTTGCGCGGGGCGCATGTCGGGCCACTCTGGAAGCGCTCGCGCGAGCTCGCGCGGAGCGCTTGGCGGGCCGCCGCGGAAGCGCCCCCCACCGTGCAGGTTCGCGCGGAATGCTCGACGCTCCTGCCCGTGCCGGCTCGCGCAGAGCGCTTGTCGGGCCACGGCCAGAACCTGGCAGAATCTGCCCAAACCGACCAAAATATCGGCCGCGGCCGGGTCCGAAATTGGGCCGGGACGCTGGCGTGGAGACGCCCCCGCTCGTGCCGGCTCGCGCGGAGCGCCTGTCGGGCCGCTGCGGCTGCGCTCCCGCTCGCGCAGGCTCGCGCGGAGCACTTGTCGGGTCGCTCTGGGAGCGCCCCCCCAGCGTTCCTGCTCGCGCGGGCTCGCGCGGAGTACTTATTGGGCCGCCCCGGGAGCGCCCCCGCTCGCCCCCGCTCGCGCAGGCTCGCGCGGCGCGCCTGTCGGCTCGCTGCGGAGACGCCCCCGTTCGAGCCGGCTCGCGCGGCGCGCCTGTCGGGCCGTTGCGGCCGCGACCACGCTTGCGCAGGCTCGAACGGAGCGCTTGTCGCGCCGCTCCGGGAGCGCCCCTGCTCGCCCCCGCTCGCGCGGAGCGCTTGTCGGTCCACTGCGGCGGCGCCCCCGCTCGCGCAGGCTCCGCAGAATGCTTGTCGGGCCGCTCTGGAAGCGTTTTCGCTCGTGCAGGCTCGCGCGGAGCCCCTGCCAGGCCACTGCGGAAGCGCCTCCGCTCGCGCGGGCCCGCGCGGAACGTTCCAAATAGAGGACATGTAAAGTAATTGTTTTTCTCGGGCGCCACGCCTGGGAACGCTCGGGGGCGCGCCTCAGCGCTGGAAGCGCCTGGGGGCGCCTGGGGGCGCCTCCTCGACTCGGGGCCCGCCCTGCTTGATCTTTTCCCGATTTCAAACTCCGTCGGAAATCCACATAGGAAGCCGAGAAAAGTAGGGCGGGCATTTCTGCCCCCAAGAAGCAAGGCTGATATTCTCGCAATACTTTTCGGCTTTTCTATTCGTCGTTGAAGTCGCGCGTAGCAGAGCGCACGCTCGTTCGGGGCCGAACCGTGGGGAAGAAAGGCCGACGCATAGTCAAGTTCGCTCGGCGCCTCTTTTCGACGCCGCCCAGAGCACCGCGTCAGAGCGACGAGGCCGAACGGTTCCCCACTGCCCCCAAGTGCGGGGTTGACAAGTTTGCCCACGATGCAGAGACATGTTTTCATTTGGTCGTCGCGGCCCCGCCGCCCGCGCCGCGGCCCAAGAGGGCCTCGGGGCGGTCAAAGACGGCCGGAAGACGACCCGCGACGCCTCGAAGATAGCCCAAGAGGGCCCCAAGGTGCCCCCAAGCGGCCCGCGCCCATTGACCCCCGCAACATTCATCAGTAGTTATGCCATTTTTGCCCATCGCATGTCGGCCCAAATCTTGTCAGGCTGGCCCGAATCTTGCCCAACAGGCCCGAAAAAAGGCCTCGAGACGGCGCCGGAGCGATCCAGGGCGGCCTTCGAGACGGCCAGCGCGGCCCAAGATGGCGCCCTCGGCCGCGCGCCGCCGTCGTCTCTAGAAGGGGGCCGCGGGCGCGCCGCGGAGGTCGGCGCATCCGCCGCGCCGCCAATCAAAACGCGTCTTGCCCTTCGCCTCCACCCCCAAAAAAACATCCGACATTTGGATGTCTTCTTTCTGCGGGCCCAGGGTCCCCGAGCGTAGCCCGAAAATGTTTCTCGCGGGGCGCGCTCCGACTGACTGACAGACAGGCAGTCTGAGTGATTGACTGACTGACTGACTGACCAACTGACCGGTCGCGCCCGCCACGCGTCCGTTGCATTCTCGGCCGCCGAAGGCGCGACCGATGGCGCAACCAATAGGGGGCGGTATTCTCTGCCGCCGAGGGCGCAACCTACGGCGGAACCAATAGCGGGCGGTCTTCTCAGCCGCCGCCGAGGCACAACCCGCGGCGCCACCTCGAGGAGACGGTT